GCTGAGGCAGGAGGATCCCTGCAAGTTCAAAGCCAGCCTGAGCTGCACAGTGAGTTCAAGCCCAGCCTGGACCATAGAGTGAGACCCTGTCTCAAATTAAAAAATTGCATCCTCCTTACCTCAGCCTCACAACCTTAGGGCTCACTGTGCATGCCCTCAGGATCTGCTCCTATAAAGGGGGGGTAGGCTGCCCTTGGGTTCTTGATGCTGAATGCAGGGCAGAGGAGCCTCTTCCTGTTGGAGTTGTGTGCTCTCTTGGCCACCCGACAAGACACCAGATCTTGGGGCCATTGCATTACCTGATAACTCTGATAACTCCTAGACACAGGAGCATCACACACCAGGTCTTCCCCATACTATCCTCAGTTGATTTTGACCCTGCAGAGAAGGCCCTTAAAGAGCAGAGCAAGAGCGTGAGGAGTCAGAACTAGAGAGGAAATGGGTCAAGAGATGGGGGAAGAGATAACAGGTTAGAAAGGTGGGGGCGTCAGGGAGATAGACATCAGAGATGAAGTCAGAGATGCAAGTTAGAGGCTGGAGCCATGGAGACCAAGGGACCAGAGGGAATGAACATGGGAGTGGGGTCAGGAGGAGGACTCAGGGCTTGAGGACCTGGGGGATTTGAAACCTGAGCAAAACATCCAAGAAAGAAAATTAGGAAATGAAGGAGCTTGATGCAGACAGAACTTGGAGAAGAAAATGCTACTGGTCAAAGACCTAGGGGAGATGGAGCCAGGCTGTGAGGGCAGGGGATGTCAAGACTGCCAGGGAAGCTCAATTCACCAGAAATACATCTGGCCAGCCTGGGATTTCATTTTGTTTCTTACTGGGTCTTGGCTTAAAGAGAGAATGTATCACCAGCCACCCTTTGTCTTTCTGCTTTCCACCTCTCTGTGCCAGGAATAACCAGGACAGGGAGAGGGTCTATTGTTGCCACTCTGGTACCCAAGATCCACCACTCCACCCTTGGGCTGGCGGGGGGGGGGGGGGGGTTGCTCACCTGCTCTGGGATTCACCTGGGGTCAGGATCCAGTAGCCTGATGTGTGTGCCCTCCGGGGAGCACACCCCTGCCTGCACTCTTCCCTGACTGGAAAGGTGGGTGGAGGCCAGGAGAGTTATTGCAGTGGTATAGGGGCTGTCTGTGGCCTTGGTTTCAAGGCAGGGTTGTCATCAGAACCATGGGAGAGGGTAGTGTCAGCAGGGGGAGGCTGAACTAAGCTTGCGGAGAGCTGAGAAGAAAACATCACCTGCACTGAAATCATGAGGTCCTCCACCTAGAAGCCTCACAGTGGAGAAGAATCCACGTAGAAGGCTAAGCCCTGTACCCACCCAGGACCAGAGGAAGGCTCATTCAACCTTCTTCCCTGGGGGGACTGGGGTTTCCCTTTGCTGCCCCAGGCCATCAGGGATGGGGCCCTTTGGGGGTGGAGAAAAGGGAAGGAGGTGCCTGGGGACAAAAGGGTGGGACTAAGAACAGGAAATGAGATGGGAACCACCAGCACCCTCCCTCTGCTGCAGGCACCACACAGAGAAGGGGACAAAGAGGAAATGACAGATTGGGGTGGGGTAGAAGGGGAGAAGAATCGTGCCCTTCCTCTGTAAGGAGCTTAAAATGCCAAAAACAAGCTGGGCTGAGCAGCCAGGGTACATGAGTTCCATGCCAAATCAAATTAAGAAAGTTTTGAGTGACTACTCCATACCAAACACCATGGGGAAACCCCCACGGTCCTCAGTCCTGCTGACTTCCAAGCCTTGTCCAAGGTAAAGGAGGGAGGGAGCCAGGTGACCCCACATCTGGGTGGGGCACTCTCCCACCCTGTCTGCACCTTCCAGTTGGCCTGAAGCTATCGCTTTCATCTCCCAGCGCCTCTCCCCTTGCCACCCACCCTACACCTGTCTCTTCTTCCCATGGAAAGAGTCAGAGAATCACAGAAACTGAAGAAAGACACCATTGCTGTCCCACACCCTGCTGTGGCCCAGCAAGGCAGCAGAGAGCCAGGTCCTTGTCCCTGGGTGCATCTCCAGCTAGGATGCTTCTCCCTCCCCAAGTGTCACCCTTAGACTCTCATGGTTGGGGCTGGTGGCTTCTCCTGTCACCTTTCATGCAGACCCAGCACCATCCACTGTCCCTTCAGGCTCTCTTCTCCTGACTTGTAACCTTAGCCCCACCATCCTGTCCCTCATCACTCTGCCCTCCCCTCTGTCTCACCCACTTCTCCTGAGGTCCCAAACTCCTCACCGGCTCTGACACCGCTCTTCTGGGGTTTGCCCCGCCATTGCCTCCACCACCCCATCACCAGAAAGTCACTGGAGGGGGGGCATTCACATCTTCAGTCACATTTCCTGTTGGGCCTGCTCATGGGTCTCTTGGGCAGTGACTCTGGGCTCCTGCCCATTCTCCCAGGAGTCCCTAGAAGCTGCTTCTGTCCCTCAGACCAGATGGAGCTACCAAAGTGTGGCGGCTGCCACCCGCCCTCCCGCCCGCCCTGAGGTGGCCTCCTTACCCTCCTGGCCTGAGTGCTGCAGGTGCTCCTGCAGGTCACACCCAAACACTCGCTCCTTTGAGCTGCCCTTCTTCTTTCCTTTCTGCCGAGACTTCATGGCCGGAGCCCCAGGGCCCAGGTCCAACAACCTCTGTCCCCCAACACCTTTGCCCTACCGATCCCCCATGGTGTCCCCACAGGCCACTGGGCTTGGCCTGGACTCAGGGGGCAGGGCTCCGAGATGGGGGTGGAGGGTGGCCTGGGCAACGAGCAGCTCCTGCCTCTGGGGCCCCAGCCACACGGAAGTGGCTGTGGAAGAGGAAGCTGCTGGGACCCTAGTGCAAAACTTGTCTCGTGGCCCAGCTAGGCACTGCCTTCTGGGCCGCGCAGCTCTAGGGGAGCAGGAAGCTGTGCAGCTCCTCAAACCCGCTTCCTGTTAGAGCATCTTTGTAACCACAGGCCCTAGTGGGGGAGGTAGCTGACACATCCTTACCCACTGCTGGGCCTCGGCCATTGGTCAAGGGGAGGTGATGTCTGAGCCCTGGGTGGGGTGACGGCCTCTGGAGCCAGAACAGGTGACTGACATCTCTAGAGACCATATTTTACGCGAAGACCTGGGGTTTGCATGGGAGCAGGGCACAGCGCTGTGTCTGCCAGGAGGGAGAATGCTGGGGCTCTGCCTCGGGTGTGCCTATCACCTCAGCCAAGCCACAGTACTTCAGGGAACCTCAGTTTCCACACACAAGCAAATGAACAATGCAGACCAAATGATCTTTAAACCCTCCCAGCTCTGACAATCTGGAACTCACTTGAGTTTCAATTTCTTTATCTGTAAAAAGGGTATACTGCTGTCTATTTCACATAGCTATTATCAGTCATCAGTACAGGGATCAGGGAGATGGCTCAGTAGAATAAGAGCTTCCCTGGCAAGCGCAAGGGCCTGAGTTCAATCCCCAGTTCCACAAAAAAAAAAAAAAAAAAAAAAAAAAAGTCATCAGTACAATAAAAGACTTAGAACATTTGGCATACCAAGGCCTTGGTTCTTAGCCTGTGAAGACTAATTCTTTGTCCTTTCCCTCCCAGCTGTAGACACCCTGGGCTCGGCTCTGCTTGGGACCAACATGGAACATAACGCAATAGCAAAGGGCAAGAGAGGAACCAGACAACAGGTTTTATCTGTTTATTTAAAAACAGAATATCATTTTATATACAAATATGCACATATTTACACTCAATGTACATACTAGGATCTCAGATCTTTGGATTTCCCATTCCAAATCCCAAGCTGGCCAGAGAACAGGGGATGAGAGCCCCTCCTTTAGTCCAGAAATCCAGCAGATTTCAGGCCATGCAAGGCTTGGGCACCAAATCTTATTCTGGATAAGATTGTTTTTTGGTTTTTTTTTTGGGAGGTGGCAAATAAAAATAAACATCCTACCCCTGCCTCCATCCAAAGAAACTGCCAGAAAAACCCTGACTCAAGGGCCTAGAACCCTCTGAGAAGGTGACACCCCCAGCATATCCTTCCTCTAGTCTGAACCCCGGCTTCTCGCTGCATAATCAGTGCACACTCTTCCCTGCGCCACCTAGTCCCAGCAACTCTTGTAGGGACTGCAAACAGCTGTGGACACAACTGAGGGAGAGATAGATAGACAGACAGACAGACAGACACAGAGGTGAGACTAGGGGAAGAGCTGAGGGGCTCTATGGTGAAGGGCCTCTCCCTGTCCTCCCTTAAGCCACAGCCATGGGGCTTCCCTTCCCCAAGGGCCTGCCTAGATGAAGATGCCTTAGGAGTACCTCTCAGTGCCACAGGGTCAACCTTGGCCTGGGGTGGGGGTCCGAGTGAGGCCCAGCCCTGCTGAGTGCCTGTGTAGGCTGCCCTTGTTTAAGCGAGCCCAGGAACAAACATGCAGATAAACTAAAAGGATCTACAAGTTGCTCTTATCAAGGGGATCAGAACTGTCTTCTGCAACCTCTACTGGAAGGTGTTTTCACACCAAGTATGTACATACAGCAGGCCCATAGGCCACCAGAGGGCAGAGGGCTTCTTTGTGACAGTTCTCGCCTCTGGCAGACCCCTGGGTGGTGGCTTCACACTTGCCCAGTGGCTCTCAAGTGGTCGGAAGCCAGCTCCCCGACTCAGGAGGCCACATTCCAGCTCCAGCTACGCCCGCACACCTGGACATGGCCCTGTCTCCACCTCTCACCTCCAACCTCTGCATCATTAATACTGCTCCGGGGTCTGAGGAAAATGCCTGCTCCTGCAGGCCAAGGTCACACACAGTCACACAACATGCAAACTGAGCCCTGGCGGCCTTTCCCTCACGATCACCAGAAGCCTATAACACACTCTACCATTCATTCTAACAGTGACTGACAAGCCAGTACAGTAGGATACGTACAGTGGAAGTCACTTCTGGACTAGGGATGTAGCTCAGTGGCATAGCACCTGCTGAGCAAGCACAAAGCCCTGAGTTTGATTTCCAGTATGGGGCGGGGGGAGAAAAAAAGAAAAGAAAAAAAAAAAAGGAAGTTACTCCTCTACACATGCACACACATAGTGAACACACAAGCAAAAATGCACCCGCACATACATACACACATACATGCAGTGACCTGTACTTATGGTGGGAGGGACTCAATTGTCGGAGCCCTCCCCATGAACAGCAGGGTTGGAAGAAAAGGTTGAGCAGTCAGTGGGGTGGGGGAGCATCTTCCTCAAGAAATTCGGGCATGTTAGGAGGTCCCCCCAAGATGAGTGGAATCCCCTGTGTCAGCAGGAGCCAGGCCTAGGGGAGGAGGCAGCCCTGGGTCAGACCAAGTGCCCCCGTCCATTGATGTAGATGCCATTGCCCGTGGGCTTGGCCCGTAGGGTCCCATTCTCTTGCACAAAATGGTTCATGGCCTGTTTGATGCCTTCATCTCGGTCTTCCTCTTCCTCTGCCCGCCCAGATCCTGGAGACAGCAGTTCTGTCTGCGTTTCGATCTCCCTCACTGTGGTCAGTGTAGAATAACTGCGGCCCTCCGGCTCCTCGCTCTAGAGACCAAGAGCAGAGGACAACTCAGGAAATGAGGCCGACAGACAGACAGTGAGGTATAGCTGGGGGTATGGTAGGGGCAGAGGTCAGGCAAAGTGGGGTAATGGTCATCCCAGCAGCACAGGGGCTCATAGATCCAGGGCCTGGATCAAGGCACAGGATGGGGGAGTGGAGCAGGAAGCAGAGCAGAGATGCGGGGTTGGGCCACAGAACCAGGGCTGAGGCTCAGGGGCTGGTGAGGGGGCTGTTGACACACCACATCTGGGGCCAAGAGAGGGGCCTGAGGAGAGTGGTGGGGACACCGGTGGGGCCGGGGGGCCTCACCATCACAGAGCAGCTACTGTTGTCCTTGAGACTATCAGGGTGGCCCTCGGCTCTCAGCCCTATACTCTCCTCCGGCTGCAGGCCCGGACATGGGGGAGGGGTTAGAACAGAGCTCTCAGCCTCCTCCCTACAGCCTCTTTCTGCCCCCAACCTCCTCCCTAATCACCTTTCCCCCACCCCACAGGTCCATCCTCTCCCTGATACAAATATCCTCACTCCCCGGCTCACCCTAAACCCACCCTAAGATGGTAGTAGATGCCCACAGCAGCCCCCAGGCCAGTGCTGAAGGGAGAGTGGGGCCCTAGCAGACCCCAAGCACTACACCTCCCACCTGAACGTGGCCTGTGGCCGCGTCTCAGCCAGCCCTGGAGGAGGGCTGTGCTCCCAGTCAGTCAGCAGAGGGCTCCAGGCACAAGCAAACTCCCACACGGCCACACACAACACAGCACCCAGCCTTGATACTAACCTGACTCCTGGGGTCGGACTGATGGGAATGCAGCCTTCGGATAGAGTTCTCCCTGGTCAGGGTCAGCTCCTCCTCACTGAGAAAGACACATCCCTGTCAACTGAGGGCAGAGGTAGCCTCCCAAGGTGAACCTAGCCTGGTTGAGCCCATGTAAAACAGGGTTGGAGGGTGTGGAGCCCTGCTAGCCCTGCAAGTGGCAATGTGTGCTCACGTGTGCGCACAGCTGTGGTACCAGGTACCACATGTGGTATATGGGTCTGATCTTCACCCAGGCAGTGCGGTTCCCCTCAGCTGGCCTTGGTCCAGGCCCCAAGTCCCTCATCTTCAAAACTCTGCCCACCTCTGTCCCTAAGCTCCCCACGATCAGGTCACCAGTCCCTCGTGTCTCTCCTCTCCTTCCTCCGCCAGCCCTCCTTCCCTTCTTCATGTTCCCAGCTCAGCTCTGCCCTGCCCATGCAGGAGCAGCCAGTACTCACTATTTCTGGGTCATCTGTTGAGCCTTACGCCGGTGATATCTGGACATGAGCACCACCACCACCACCAGGAGGCAAAACAGGAGCGCAGCGATCACACCCACCACCACCACCGAGGCCGACACCAGGTCCACCTGCTTCCCTGGGTCCTCAGGGTCTGCTGCAGACAGACCAACATCTGAGGGGTCTGCGCACATCCCAGCCCCGCCCCAGACCCACTGCCCACCTCCACCACTCTCACAGGACACACCCACAGCCACCCACTCGCTCACCCCTGCAAACATAGCACCATCCCGCCTCCAGCGAATAAACACTTCCCACTCTCCGTCTTGCTTCCTGTTGCGCCCTCCCCAGATTGGCCCCATGTTCATGCCCCCATGCTTACCAAGAACATCCACCTTGACCCGGAAATCTCTCGATGACAGCTCATTGCTGACATGGCAGACGTAGATGCCGCTGTGCTCAGCGGTCAGCGGAGGAAAGCCCAGCATGCCCCCTTCCACTCGTGCCCCCGTGGGCATGGGCCCATCCAGCCTGGAGGACAGGGAAGCTGAAGGGTGCTGGCTGGAGCGGGCCGAGCTGCCACCACCCAACAAGCCCAGGCAGCCCTCCACCCCTCTCGCCCATGACGTCACCCAGAGCCGCCGGCTGTTCCCACGGTGCCCCGCCCTCCCCTAGGCAGGTCTAGGCAATGGTCCCTTCTCCCTGCTGCCCAGCCTGACCCGGGCACCCCCCACACATACTCGGGGAATATCCGCACGCGTGCCATCCCACACGCTCCCATGGCATCACGTCATCGGCACTGGGGACCAGGTCCCCACAGCGGGACACTCTACTCCTAGCTGAGCTCAGGGGTTCTTGGAAAATGTGGCTATGTGCTCCAACACCGACAAATGGCCCATGGCAGTGTGCCCAAACCTAGCCCCAGGCCCAAGGCCGCACGCATTGCTCCTATGTCCGCTCATAAGAACATGCTCAGCATGGGCTCACACACATGTGCACCTTCCCTCCCCGATCCGCCAGACTCCAGGCCCTGGAAAAAAGCCAAGGACTCTTAAGGTAACTGGCAGAGGTGGGTGTCTGTTTTTGAGGTCCTGGCAGCATTGTGGTGGTTACAGGAGTGCTGGTGTAACCCAGACAGCTGGCTTTCTGTCTCATTCACTTTATGCACTCATTTTACACATGTATACAATGATACCATTTAATATTGTGCTGTATTTCACTTTTGGTGGCACAGGATTAAACCCAGCACCTTTGCACTGAGCTATATCTCCAGGCATTTTTAAAATTTTTCATTTTGAAGCAGAATCTTGCTAAGTTGCTAAATTGCCCAGACTGGGCTTGAACTTGTGACCCTCCTGCCTCAGCCTCACAGAGTGGTTGAATTACAATCGTGCACCACCATGCATACTCTTGTATTGGTAAGAACATATACCCTGACTTATTTAGTGTTCAGGCTCCTAGCCCAAAGGGTACATCCTACCTCAGATAAAGAAGGACCATTATCCCAAGCTAGGCCTTCCCCAGGTCCAGGCCCTTACCGTGTCCAGTTGTACGAGGGTGGCGGCTGCCCTTCACTTAGGCACTTGAGCATAGCACCCTCTCTGCCAACATGCCACAGCTTTTCATCCTCCAGGCCTCGCACAGAGGCCTCAGCCAAGACTGCAATGGGAGGTGGAAGGAAAAAGAGTGGGAAATGACCCTCAACCATGGGGTTCCTTGATGGGTGCCCACCCAATACCCCGCCCTGCATCGAGTCACCTCCCCCTGTCCTTCTCAGCCCACTCCTCTGCTGGAAAATCTAGCTGGGCCCCACCTTTCTGATGGCTTCTGGCTGTGTGGTTCCTTCTCCTCTCCGAACTCAGTCTGTATTGATTTATCTGTGCCAGGAGCCCAGAAGGCCCATGTGACACTTTTCTCTGGATCTTCTGTGATGCCCAGCATGGCACTAATCACAGAGCAGGTGTTCCAGAATGCTGCCAGATTCCTCCAGGGCCTAACAGTCCTGCTAGTTCTCCCTCCCTCACCCCTTCCATGCTAAGGGCTGAATCAAGGACCTTCCCGCTGAAGTTCATCCGTCTTTTCCTAAACCATGTCTTGTGCAGAGCATGGTGGTACACACCTACAATCCTAACACTCTGGAGGCTGAAGCACAAGGATCACTGTCAGTTCTAGGCCAGTGTGGGCTATATAGTGAGTTCAAGACCAGCCTGGACTATACAGAGAAACCCTATCTGAAAAGAAAAGGGGGAGGTACTGGGGATTTAGCTCAGCAGTAGAACACTTGCCTAGCAAGCTGGAAAACCTGGGTTTGGTCTCCAAATCCAAAAACAAAACAAGGGCAATGTCTTACTAAGCTGCCCAGGCTGGGCTCTAACTTGTGATCCTCTTGCCTCAGCCGTCCTAGAGTGCTGGGATTTATAGGGCTACACCACCACCTCTCATTTGTTAATTCATCCCCTTAGTAAACACATGTTGAAGACCTACTTTGTGCTCAGCGCTAAAGTAGTATGAGCTGAAAATGTCCTCATCCCCCAGAAGATGAAGCCTAAGGCTATCATTTCCTGGGTGTTTCCTATGCTTTGAGCATTGCATGAGATACCTTGTATTCTTTTTTAAACTTTTATTTATTTATTTGTTACAGGGTCTCGCTACACAGGTTGGACTCATAGTGATCCTCTTGTCTCAGCCTCCCCCAGTGCTGGGATTGCAGGCGCGTTCCACCAAGCCCAGTGTTTTGGGCCAGCACAGCATGTGGTACCAAAGATCAAACTCAGGTCCTTGCACTTGCCAGGCAGGCACTTAGACTGCCAAGCTATCTCCCCAGCCTCAATATTTTGCTTTTTTTTTTTTGTACCAGGGATTGAACTCAGGCCCTTGCACTTCCCAGGCAAGCGCTTATTCTACTGACCTACTTCCCCAGCCTCATACTTTGCATTCTTGATGGTTAATTCTCATCAAAATCCTTTAAAGTTGCCATAATTACACCCATTTTGCTGATGAAGAAAATGGAGCCTACCAAGATTAAATAACAGCTGGTAAATAACAGAATGAGAACTTGTTCCAAGTCTGTCTCTAAATCCTAAACTGTATGTTTTGCAAAGTGTTTTCAATTCCATATTTATATTTGATTCTCCCAAAAGCATGGTGAAGCAAGGTAATCTCTTCTGCCAAAATAGGGACAGTGGCCGGGTACAGGGCACAGGACTATAATCCTAGCACTCTGTGAGGCTGAGGCAGGAGGACAGCAAGTGTGAACCCTAGGTGAGCAACTAAGTGAGTGAACAAAACTTTGTGTCTAAATAAAAATTATATATATATATATATATATATATATATATATATATATAGGCTAGGTATGTAGCTCAGTGCAGCGGTCCTGGTTCAATCCCTAGTACTGCAAAAAGAAAAGGATTCTGAGCTCAGGGAACACTAAGGAGTTTTCCAAGGTCCCCAGGGATTGGGCTCCAGGTTCTATACCTTTGAGCAATTGCTCTCATACACATAGCCTGCAGACCCCAGCTGGCCAACCTGGCCTAGCACAAGGCTTCACAGTGTCTCCCCAATTCTTTCAGAAGCCATGGGGGCCTCTAGCCAAACATCTAAGTACTCACAGGCCACTTGGAGGGTGTGGGTGATCCTTTGGTCCTGGAGCAGGCCAGGGTGGGACACCACACAGGTAAGCGGCTGCCCGTTCATGCTGCGACTAGGCACCAGGTGGAACTCGGATGTGACAGCAGCCGAGCGAGAGTGCTTGAAAGCACGACTGGATGTTGTGCCTTTGACCTCTGTTTCCCAAGTCACGCTGGGGGCTGGGCTGCCCTCGGCTGTGCAGGAGGCGGCCAGCGTCAGGCCCTGGCCCTCTTCCAGCGGTGGACCAGGGTTCAGTGAGGGCAGGGGAGGCACTGCGAACGGGGGCACAGAGGTCAGGGATACGCACAGTCCCTGCCTGGAAGCCCTCCTCCACTCCAGTCTTGCAAAATTATAGGCCTGTTTTTCTTTCTCTTATTTCACCAACAAAGACATCAGGTAAATGGTAGAGTTCCACATGACTTTGCGTTTCTCCCCATTATTTGAATTTTTTTTACAATGAGCATGGGTCATTTCTTAAAAAATAAGACTAAGAAAGCAATTTGGAAACTAACTAGGTATTATCTACATAATAATAACAGCACTGTTTACTAAACTGTTTTTCCAGCTATTATGTTAAACACTTTACAATCGTTATCTCATTTAATTCTGTCAACAAACCGCTGAGGTAGGCATTATTATCACTGTTTTCAGGTGAGGAAGTGAAAGCTCAGGGACATGAAGATGCCTTGCTCATGTCATCAGCTCGGAGGTGACAAAGCCTAGCATCACACTCAGGTTTTTCTACTCCAAAGCTGCTGTTACTAACTTCAGTGCGGATAAAAGGGACTCTATACAGGCCTTTAATTTTAGCTTCAAAATATTAACGGCCAGAGTACAGAATGGAAAAGACTTCAGTTAACTCTAAATCCAGGTGGGCCACAGGCGCTGCTCGCAGTGCACAAGAATGGCTTAAAAGGCGGCTGCGGGGCCGGGGAGATGGCTCAGCAGAATAAGCGCTTCCCTGGCAAGCACAAGGGCCTGAGTTCAATCCCCAGTTGGGGGGGGGGGGTTGGAAGGTGGCTGCGATCTCAGCCTCTGAAGGCCCAGATTAGGGAACGAATTAGCCCAGCATGTAGGTCATATTCGAACTCGTGTCCACCTCTGAACCCCACAGTTTACAGCTATGGAGTCCAGATGATGAAAGTGTGTTTGAACCCGTGCCTTTAGTGAAAATGCAGCAAGGGACAATCCCTGTAGTTTGGGGAAGGGTAGATTATTCCGGTGGAATATGATCAAGGTCCTCAACTCTTTGAAAGGCCGGTGCAAGATTTCTTCAGAGGGCAAAAATAACAAACACAGGGGGAGATTTCCGGTCCTCAGAAGGCAGAGCTTGGTAGTAAGTAGATGCCTCCCCAGCTAAGCCGGTCAGTTGCAAACAATTTCTGGATTGGGTGGGAAAATGGGTTGGGTGGCCCTCCCTGTCGCCACAGAATCCCATCTTTAGCTCTTGCTTTGTCCTCCCTCATCTGTTTGCAGTCCCCGTCTCTGCTCCTCTTGCCTCCAGCTTCTCTCCTTCTCGCCCCGAGCCTGGGCCCCTGGCACAGCAGCCTGGGCGGTTCTGGCGGCCCCACTTACCCAGCACGCGCAGCCGCAGTCGCGCCTGGAAGCTGCCGGCGGGGAAGGTGCTCACGCGACACTCGTACTCGCCCTCGTCTGCTTGCACAGCGTTGCGCAGGAGCACTGAGCCGTCCAAAGGGTCCCGAGGGGGTGGCGGTTGTTCCACACGGCCTTCGTAGGCCGAGTTCACGTGTAGCCCATACTGGGAGTGCAGCAGTGCCAGCTCCCCCGTTCCCTCGTTCGTGTCCACCCGAGCCCAGGCCACCTGCGCCACCTTCTCGCCGGGGTCACCTCTGTAGATGCAGGGGAGGTTTGCGTCTTGGCCTAGCACCACGGTCACCAGGTCCGAGGTCTCCAGCTCACCGGCCCGGCACCCACCTGCAGAGGGCAGACAAGAGCAGTCAGGATCAGCGGAGCTGATGGAGGAGCCAGGGACACCTTCATCATGATAATGACAGCAAAGCCAGCCGGAACTAGTGGAGCATTTTATGCTTGCAAAGCGCATTGGGTTCATTACCTCATTAGATCCACAAAACATTCGCAAGAGGTAGGCGTTATTATTGCCATTTAACAGATGAGGAAACTGAGATCCAGGGAGAGGAAGTGGCTCGCCTAAGGCCACACAGGCAAGATTTATGAAAGGCTCACACCCTCAGGCAGTCTAGGATTGAATCTTGAGTTATCTGCAAGATGGGAGACCTTAACAGGACCAAAAACCAAGCTCTGCACTCAGAGAGCTCACAGTCCTCAGGCAAATGGAATTGATGCAAACAAAAAGCCATAAACAAATTTTCATGGCAGGCTCAACCTCCTCAACCTCAACGTCCTAAAAGTGAATGCTGGCAGGACATGTGGCCAGGCATCTAGTCAAGCACACAGAGCCACTGGTGTCCGGGATGGAGCACATAGGGAGGGAAGGGGCCATGCCAGCTGGCCCCTTGGACATTCTTCTCATGGCTTGCAGATGAGAGCCCTGGATTCCCAGGGACAGCAAGGTATTCCAAGTGGGAGGAATGGTATGAGCCAAGGCTCAGAGGCAGGAATGAGCAAGCCACTGAAGACAGAAAGGGGTCTGGTCAGAGGCTAAAGAGATGAGGTCAGGGAAGACACAGCGACAGGGTCAGGGTAGGGTGCCAGGATTAGAGATCCGGGGAGGAAGGAGCAGTGTGCTGTGCGCACATTGACAAACAGCAGCAGGGAGCCCTCAGCAATTGCAAAATCAGAGACACCTGTCATGCGACCTTATCTGCAAATAAGGATCTTGTCCTTGCCCTCCTGAGACCTGTGGCCTGGATGGGAGGAAGAGGTAGGTGCATATGGAGGCAGACAGAGAAAAATGTAATGGTGGGTTTTGATTTAATGTTCAGTGGTGTGTTGCAGGCCATTGTGTGCCAAGGACAGTAGGATTTGAGGGGAAATTCAGAAAGGATCGCATTCACAATAAAGGCTCATGGGCTGGGGAGATGGCTCAGCAGGTGTAAGTGCCTGCCTGGCAAGTGCAAGGTCATAAGTTGGATTCCTGGTACTGCAGAAACAAAAGTGGAACAAGAGGAGCCAAACTAAGAAGGGTGTGTGTGTGTGTGTGTGTGTGTGTGTGTGTGTGTGTGTGTTGAGCAGAAATGGAAACTATGGCTGGGGTGGGGCCAAATTGTCTAGGACCATCCATGCCAGGAACAAGGAGGGATTCAGGTCAGGCCAAGAGGAAATGGGGAGCCACTTCAGTGTCATTAGGCACTGAGTGGTGTGAGCCAAGGGGTGATGAGCAGTCTGAGGACAAAGTAGGCTGACTGAAGACAGGGCACTCACCAAGAGCTGCAGCTCCTGCCCAGGCACAGAGGTGCTGGGGCAGAAAGGTAGGCCCAGTTCCTGGGGGAGATTTAGCAGGGATTTGGTCACTGACTACAGAAAGAGATGAGGGACAGGAAAGACTCAAAGATAATTGCATTTCCAGGTTGGGTAACTTAGGAGAGAGCAGAATCTGGGGCTGGAAAGAAATAACCAAGGAATGGTGGAGTAAAATGTGAATTATTGGGCCAGGGGCTGGGTCAGAGTGGAAGGGTACTCTAGAGTGGCCAGAGCTCCTGGTGTTGGAATCTACACTCCAGCAACCGCAATGGGTTATAGTCTGCCCAGCACCCCATACACCCTTTTGTTCCTCACCTTTGCTCATACTGTATGCTGCCTGGAATGCCCTCCTCCCTATGTCTGGTAGCTCCTACTCATCATTGTCTGGAGAACTCCTACTCACACCTTAAGACTCTGCTTAGGCATCACTTCCTTCTAGAATCCTCCTCCACCACACCCCCTGGCAGCTATGGGTGCCTGTCCCTGGTGCTCCCCTGGCACCCTACTTTTACTATGCCACAGTGCTTTATCCCACAGGTAGATGGTCCTTGCTATTTTCTTGTCTTCCCTCTTGACCAGACCCACCAGACTGGGCTCTGTAAGAATAGAAAACAAGGTCACCCATCATTTATGGAAACATGGTTTCTGATTTCATGCTCGGTGGGATGTGGCCTCCATACCTGTCATATAATTGGAGTTTAATGAATGTTTATAGAATATGTGTATGAATGAGTGAATGAATGAATGAATGAATGAGGAATGAGTGAGCAAAATGCGCATAAGCAAAGGATAGACTGAGGAGGAATGAGCAGTTCCTGTTTAGGCCAGTGGGGAGGGTGGTGGCATGGCAACCTTGGAGTGGAGGCAAGACAGCACGGCTATTTGGATTCACAGCCAAAGGGAGCATCTCTGAACTAGACAGGGAAAGAAAGGACAATGGAGGGCGGCGGGCCTGGAGCAAGGAAGTGAAGCCTAGCGTGGACCAGAGGGTTCCAGACCAGAGGGGTCCTGTGCCCTGCTACTAGCAGGAGTGGAGGGAGGGAGGATGCTGCTGGGATCTGGGAGGGCCCAGACTGGACAGGACAGACCTGCAGGGCCAGATACCAGGGCCCTGACCTGCCTAAGCTGATGTTGGTCCCACCCTGCCCAGCCTGGGAGCCCAGCTAACCGCCTGCACCCCTCCCAGGTACCTTCTCCTGGCACTGGAGGGGGGAGGGCTGCCAAAGAAGGGTTAGAGTGGAATTGGGATGGGAGACCCTCAACATACCATCTGCCTCAAACACTGATATCTATTCAGTCCACGGGGCTCCCAAGTCATGCCCACTGGGACATCCATTCCTCTAAAAACCACCCTGGAGGGGCTGGTGAGATGGCTCAGTGGTCTAAAGCACCTACTTAGAACAAACTTAGCAAAGCACAGGGACCGTGGTTCAATCCCCCAGCACCACATGCCAGCCAGCCCCGCCCCCTGGTGGGCTGAGCTGGCCACACACACACACACACACACACACAAATAAAATTTTTTTTTTTAAAGTATCTTTAAAAAAAAAAAAACACCACCCTGGGAACAAGGTTATATGGGGTATTCCTCGTACCACTCCCTGTAATTGCCAGCCATTTGCCCTGTTTCACCACAAATAATCCATATTTCTCCCAAAAGCTACTTTTTTAGGGCACAGCAAAAATTGGGTACCAAAAGCGTCTGAACCCAATCATCCTTGTTGCTATTTATAAAAGGCCAAGATCCCCATGTCCAAGAGACAAGCCCTCACTTCCAAGAATGAAGACCTCAGTAAAACAAGAAAGTCCCTTCTGGATGTCCCTTTGACCCCCTCATTGTCCTAAATCCTGTTTCATAGGAGCCTCTCAGGCTGAGACAACACCCTCCTCTACATGTGTCCTGTCCAGCCATGGAGTGTAGAGAATCAAGGACCTAGACTTGGTCTTGGATTAAATGGACCCAGGAGCCCAGGCTCCCAAGCCAAGGCAGGCCAGGACTGCCTCCACCTTCTCTCCTCCACCCAGTGCCTGCCTGGCGTCAGCATGATGATGTCATCAGCCTGCAGGAGACGCACTGCCTGCCTGATGAGGTCACCCTGCGGGCATGTGGCGGCCAGGCAAGGCCAAGCCCACGGACCCTTCTCCTGCAGACCTCTCTGGGACTGATGGACTCTGAGTGCTGGGAACTCCTCCTCCTGACCCTCCCCACCCTCCTCCCAGGAGCACCAGGACGCTGGTCAGGAGCCTTGGTGACTCAGAAGCCGCCACACAGCAGCAGGCCTAGCCACAGCCGCCACCACCTTGCGCAAGGGAGAACAGGCCCAACTGGCCAGACGGGATCCCTGCCCTCAGCCTCCCCCACCCCTAGCCAGGCCCCCTCAGGCCTCTTTGGGGCCCTGCCCTTTGTGTACCCCGCCCGCTTTCAGACAGGCCCTCCATTCCTGGTTTGGGCAGGCTAGCTGCACCCCACCCTGGGTCCCTGGGTCCCTGGGTCCCAAGTTTCCTTTTTGTGTGAGGCCTAGCCTCTGGTCTCAGAAGGGGAAATTGAGGCTGGCACCTGAAGACACCCAGCTATGGCAGCATCATTGTGGAAGAAATCTTTCTTTCTGAGGGTCTTTATCCATCAGCATCCTCTGCTGGAGCCTATAGGGTGTGCACAGGCAGTTTAGAGGTGGGTCTTCGAGGAGGAGGAAGGAGTGAGCTGTCTTTCATGTCTGAACATACGTTTATTCTTGACTGGTCTTTCTAGCTCATGTACGTGTCAGGCTATCTCCTTCTATGAACTAAGCGGTGTTTCACACATATATTTATATCTGATCCTGAGTAGAGTCTATGGACATGCTTTTCTAGCCCAGAGGGAAGAGCTACATGCTGTGTGGACGTGTGTGCATGCACCGTGACATGAGCGCTTCACACCCTGTGTGCATGGCGTGCGAACCTTTCCTGAACGCTGCACACAGAGTAAATATTTCCCTGTCGTTTTTCTTGGCTTCCGCGTGTCTGTCTGTCTCAGCTGCCCTGGGTCAACGTGTGGCTGCCAGCCTTTAGAGCCTTTGCCCATGTGGCTGCCTGGAGTGTTGCCCCTGGCCACTCTCCTCACCTCACCCTCACACTGAAGAGCAGACTCATCTCAGGCTCCAGGTGGAGGTACCCAGGGATGAGGTCACCGGCCCTCCGGGGGATGGGATATTGCCACCAAACCTCCCCAGCAGAACAAAACCAAAGCATGCCCTCTCCCTTAGCCTTTGGGTTCTCACTACAGGGACTCCCACCCTTCTCACCACCCCAGCCACGCCCCTGGGCCCCCCACACCTCTGGCCCCCCAAGAGGCCTCACCCTGGGAATCTGTCAGGGCTCTGCTGTTGCCACCACCAGAAAAACCAGCTTCAGCTCCAGGCCTGGGGTAAAGGCTCTGTGGTGTGGGTTTGATGGGAAGGGGGGGACCTGCCTGGGGGTTAGGAGGAGGGGTCCAAGCTGTCTAGGGTCTCATTTTCCTGTTTAACTCTTGCCTCCCCTTACCCTTGAGTACCTGCTCTACTAGACAGAGCTGTGGATGTAGCTGAGTTTGGGGTAAGAAAGATATAGAAGCCCCCCAACTAGGACTAGTGCCATAAACAACTCAGCAAGCCCCTTTCGGTTCTCCTTTTCCCCTATAACCTTGGCCTTGGAGTGCTAAGAAACTTTGAAAACCACAAGCAAGACTTTCTCTGGCTGCTTTCATCCACCTCCCTCACATACCCCCATTGTCCTAAGCCCCCCAGCTTAGTGAGAGCTTCCCAACCCCGGGCAGAGCGCCCACTGCAGATTACTGTCTGGGGAGGGGGCACAGCCATCACCCAGGGAGAGGAGAACAATGCGGGAGGACGGGCCTGCAGGCAGCTGGCTTGGCCCAGACACAGCTCCCAGCACAGATAAGTCCCCTAAACCCCCCGGAGCCAGAGTCTGAGCCCCGCTGAGTCACCACAACACCACACTGTGGGTGGGAGACCCAGAACCAGGCTTCTCTCAAACTCCAGGGATGCTCCCCCCCCCACCCTGCTCCCAGGCCCACTCCCCCCTCCAAGGCCAGCTCTGATCCACCCCAACTCAACAGTCTCAACCCCAGCTCTCTGGGACACACGGGTAGGGTGGGTAGGAAACCATGGGAAAAGCTTCTGAGGCCCACAGCTCCCAGGTGTCTCCTCCTCAGTGAGAGGGAGCCCAGCGCCAGAGCCACAGCCACAGCCACTCTCCAGGGCTTTGGGATGATTCCCTTTTCTGACCTTCTCTTGTTTTATATGCTACTGCAGACTGAGACCCCAGGGCTCTTCTTCTCCCTTCCCCCCTGACTCAGATGCCCCACTTCACTTCCTACTTTGTGGCCAGCGCAGGGCACGCTTAGGAGGCCAGAAAAGGTGGGCACCCATGTCCACACCTACTGGCCTTGCTGCCTGCCATGGCTGGCCCCACTCGCTCTGTCTGGGAGATCTCAGGATTCTGAGGCCATGGTCCACAACATACTATGCTCCTTACCACCATGTTTATGGCTGGGATCTTCTCAGCTGGGACCCCTCAACTATTAGGGTGTTGCCAAGGTCAGTAGGGCCAAGGACTTCCCTAGGATTTTCCCAGTTCTTACCACTTAGGCAGGGAAGAAAGCTTCCCTTGCTCGCTTCTCTGGGTTTGTGTAGGTCCTACAGGAAGGGCCTGCTTCCCTCTGTAAACAGGAGTAGAAAAGCAGGGATGGGGCTCCTCCCTTCGTGGGAAGCTAACCTCAGTCAGAAGGCTGATGCTAAGGGCACATCTGAGGCCTCAGAGAACCACTCATTCTCGGATCCTGCAGGGCCCACTGGCCCCAGAAATAGACCAAAGGACCAGGATCCTAAGAGGGGCATCTATCAGATTTGGGTCCTTCAGCTCTAGGACAGTAGATGGGGGAGGGAGAAGGGAGAGGACCTCACCCGGAAACTCATCCCATTAAGGAGAGACAAAGAACTGTGGTGTTAGAGGCGCCTCCCAAGCCTGGGCTTCACTCACTGTCAGGGGTGGGGCAGGGCCCTGGGGCTCAGAGCTCTAAAGGCCCACAGGTTGAGGGAGCTGCTTGCAGAAAGGCGAAGAAGGCAGTATCCTGGGGAAAGATCTCTGTTCCCACTAGAGATAGGCCAGGGACCATTTTGCGCTTCTGTCTCCACAGCCAGACTGCCCATGCTTCCAACACCCCAGCATACCCCATTAGCCATGGGCTGGGCAGTCGGAGTCGGTGGACTGAGAGACGGAAGGTTGAGTCCTGCTTCTTGATCTACTGAAGTTAAGTTTCTCTGTGGCTCATGGTCACCTAGCAGTTCTATAGCACACATGTGATCAGAGCTCAAGAACTGACGGCTCAATGCAAGGATTTTTCAGAAACAACATTTCAGGTTCCTCGGGCTCGTAAGGAGATGCCTACATTCAGAAGAGCAAAAGGAGGTGGTGGTAAGGGAGGGACCATCTGATCTTAGAGCTGGAAAGGCAGGGGCCAACCTAGTTCTCATCTCTAAAGGCAACATTTAGCCCTGGGCATTTGCACAGCAGCTGTCGAATGGCTTCTTCCTAGGTCCCAGAATCCTGGGGCAATCCTGGAGCCAGGCTTCCTGCCTCACCTCACTCCTCTCAGTCAGGCAGTGGGGGAGGTTGGGAGTAATTTTTTAACTAGACGTGGGTCACTGTTCCCTGTCCCTTGGCTTCTCTTGGAAAGAACAGTTTTGCTGGAAGGAAGGCAGGAATTGTGTCATTCACCAGTACCTAGCGCCCTCGCTGTACCTGATGTGCATGCCATGAGGAGTCAGGAGAACAAGACACTAATCCTGGTTATGCTTCTGACATGGGCGATCTTTGGATCTCACTTGCCTATCTCCGTTTTGCCATCTGTAAAATGAAGATGTTGGAGGGATCACTTTGATCCCTTCCAAGTCCTGAGACAGCATGACTCTGTTCAGCAGGTGTGGGCAGACCCTACAGGAAAGTGCCTGCTGGGTTCTTAGACCTCAGCAACCAGACCCCACCCTCTTGGCCTAAGCAAGGAAGAAGGTTTGTTTGGAAGATGGAAATTAAGACATAAGGTAATGGGAAGTAGGGACAGCAGGGGGTTGGAGCTCGGGAGCCTGAGATTAGAAGCTGCATCCATGATCCTCCCGTTGTGAGACCAGTGAGACCCCCAACCCTGAGAACCCTGACAACCTTGCCAATCCAGCCATGTAGGCCTTGTTCTCTTTCTGAGAGCTTCAGCTGGACTTGGGGGTTGGGAAGTCATGGCCAGGACCTGCTGAACTCCTGAAGCTCCCTGCTTCCTGCTTCTGAGGTTGAGAATCCAACTGTCCTGTCACAGGGAACCCAGCGTTCCAGTGAAAAAGATTCGCAGGTATTCATTACTCTGTAAGTAACCTATGGCCTCCCACTGGGGTGTCACCATGTGCATTCACACACGCCCTCAGAGACCCCCACTCCGAAGAGTATAAATCCCTGTCATTTATGTCTGCTGCACATACATTAAACAAGCAGGAAGTACAGAACAGTACAGGCATCAAGTTCAGGAAATAAAGAACAAGGGATGAACAAAAAGGACCACACCTTTCCTAGGAAGCCCCCTGCTCAAGACTCCCAGCCCCCTAACTATACTGCTGCCCTGGCACATAACAGTGTGTGTGCCCAGGGAAACAAAAGGGCCACAAGAGTTCTCAGCTTCCCCATCATCACCAACAGGCACCCCAGTCTTGGTACCCAAGATAACCCCAAAGAAAAGAGAAGGGAAATGAAATACTCCATCTACTCCCTGGACACCAGGCTTCCTGCCCCATGACTATGGAGGCCAGCTCAGCCCTGAGTCAGCCCTTGCTCTCATCTGCAGCTTGGGAGCCCTGACACAGGCCAACGTACCTCCAGGAAGCCCTGCAGTGAGCAGGGTCCTCACCAGTTCCACCCCCTTGCCCACCTACTCTGGGTCACATACCTACCCCCACTTCCATCAGCTCAGGCTTTGGCAGAGGAGATCAGGGACCCCAGACATGGTCACCTGCCTAAGGACCAAGACGGGACTTGAAGGGGAAAAACTACACCTGGCTCTTCTCAGGGTCCTGCTGGCACCTGGGACGAGAGACACTGGCTTTTCTATCCAGAATCCGTGGAAAGAGAATGTGTGCGTGCACGAGTGTGTGCGTGTTTATGGATCTGTGCGTGCGTGTCTGTGCCAGGCTGAGCGCAGAAGCCGGGATCCTGATGGTTCAGGCACGTCCTACCTGTGAATGATGCCAGGAGCAGCAGCAGCAGCAGCCATGCTTCAGGCCCCCACATCTCGGCTCCCAGGGACAGGGGCATTGGCTGGAAGGAGACCTGCCCAGCGTTTCTGAAGTTCCACCGTGTTCTCCCTGGGAGCCGGTTCTAGAGCTGGATGAGGCACGACCCAGAAGGCAGGAGGGAGTGGATTCCCCGGATGCTGACAGACCTACCTATCCCCCTTGGGTCTCCGCTAGGGGACCCAGCCCTGTTCTACCCACCCAGCCGTGGCTACCCCTTGAAGCCGTGATCGGGAGCTCCGAGCTCCCCCAGAGCTGCTTCCCACGCCGTGGCCAACAACGACGGCAGAAACCTGGGAACCTGCTCAGCAGGTCAGAACAGGTGCGTCTCTGGGGGCTGGGCCTGGCACGGAGACTCTGGCAGCCACCGCCCCCACGGCCTGAGCTAGCTAATGGGCGCCAGGGAGGGAGGAAAGGAGGAAGGACCTGGGTGGGGGCGCTGGGATCCCATCCTCAGCTCTGGGCTTTACCTGCGAGTGTGTGGAAGGGGCTGCGAAGGGAGCGGCAAGGGCGGGGGCAGGAAGGGCCAGGCTGTCTCAGAGAGGGAGGCACCAGGCCTGGCCAGGACAAACAGGGGCAAGGCCCTTGTGCAAAGCCTCGCTGATGTCCTTGCCGAGTTCCCTGAATTTCTGTAGGGACTCAGCTTTGGAGCCAGGGAGTCAACAAAGGCCAGAAGGAAGGAAGATAGATCCTCCTGCCCACTGGCCCATATATTGCATTCTTCAGAAGGGAAACAGAACCCCAGAGGGAAAGGGATTTTCCAGAGGACACACAAAATTTTTTGAGATAGGGTCTCACAATGGAGTCCAGGCTGGCCTTGAACTCACTATGTATTCCAGGCTGGCCTTAAATTCATGGCAATTTTCCTGCCTCAGCTACCCAAGTGGTGGGATTACAGGCATAGGACACCATGCCCAGCTAGAGAATACACAAATCTTAGGATCATGGTTTGTTCAGACACCTGTGTCCCTAAGGCAGGCAAGGCAAGTTGTTTGAAGATCCCGGACCAAAAAAAAAAAAAAAGACCCCTGACTTCTGGAAAAAAAAGAGAGAGAGAGACCCCTGAGAAAGAACCTAAGTGATCCTCTCTGGCCTCACCCCGATGGTATATACAGTAGAAACCAGGACCTGATCAAAGAATTCGCCCTCTCTAGGGACTGAGGATATAGCTCAGTGACAAGGGCCTTCCTGGCAAGTGCTAGGTTCTGGGTTCGATTTTTGGTACAAAAGAAAAAAATCCAACAAAAAAATAAAACAAGTAAATATAGAGATAGACATTAAAGAACAAAAAAATGTGGGTTAAACTCTTGCAACAGGGTCCTCTGTGTGGAAAAGGGCAAGAAGGATAAATCAAGATGCAGTGTGGGGGTGGGACCAGGTGTGTTGCTACACTTGTAATCCCAGCACTCTGGTAAGCTGAGGCAGGACAATCACAGGTCGGAGCTCAGCATAAGCAATTTAGCAAGATCCTCTCTCAAAATGAAAACAATAAAGGGCTGGGGATACAATTCAGTTCAAAGGCCCAGGGTTCAATCCCAAGTATAGTCACACACACACACACACACACACACACACACACAGCCAGTAAGGCAGGAGAAATCATTTTATTTACAATATTTTTCTATTACACCCCACTAACTCTACCTGTCAAATCTTTTTTTGTTTATGGTGAGAGAATCAAAGGCCTTGTGTATGTAAGTACTCTGCCTCTGAGCTACTCCTCCAACCACTTACCTGTCAAATCTTATTAATCTCTCAAAAGTGACCTCAAAAAAGGGACCTCAAATGCCATCTCTCTCTCATGAAGCCTTCTCAGCTCCTCCCACCCTAAATTAATCTCGCTCTGTTCTCTTCTCCCTCAGCCTTTGCTCTTCCCTTTATTATAGCTTATGCACTCATAATTTGTGCATCTTATCTCTCTAAATTGTAAGCTTTAATTCAAGAAACATTGATTGAAGCCTGCTGTGTGCCAAGGATTCAGTAAATATGTTACACTGAGCGGCAGGAGCACAGGCGTAGTCTATAAACTCCTGGAAAGCCAGGCTTGTTTCATAAGCACATCTCAGTTGTGGATGCTGAGGCAGTTCACAGCCCCTAATAGCACTGAATGTACTTCTGTCAAAGGACTACGTTGCTGAATACGTAGCCAGCAGTATGGAGAAAGTAGTGGCCGACTGTGAGCTGCCATCTTGAACTGGGTTGAGATCTGGACACTAACCCTGCCTCTGGGTTGTGACGCTGTCTCTGGCTCTAGGTCACAGCTTTCTGCATCAACCACAGCAGTGACCTCTTCTTCAAGGACTGTTTCCTACAGGCTGCATGCCAGCACTCCCCAGTTTCTCTCCACCTCCACCTTGGCAAACCCCTTCCCCTCCTCAGGACTCCAGTCCCCACCTATGCCAGGGGGACAGCCCCACCCCGATGCTGCTTTGAGATCCAGTGTGGCGGGGTAGGGTAGGGCGGGGGGGGGGAGAAGGGGAGGGCGAGCATCCTGTGGTATAATTATAATTATCACACCTTGGATCCTATCGCCTGCTTTCAGAGGAGCTCTTTTCCTTCCCACGGATTTCCCCCCTGCAGGTATAGGAAACTACAGAAGAAACTGAGGCATGGGGATGGGAAAGCAGTTAGATCACAAGCTGGCTACCCAGTCTTCTGCAGCCTGTCCATTCAATGTGCTCCCTCTTCCAAAATGCTACCAGTCAGGACATCTCGGAGCCCATAGAGAGGCTCCTGGGTCACTCACCCAACTCCAGCGCACAAAAGGGAGGCCAAACTTCCCACAGAAAGTGTTAAGGTAAGGCCCATACCCAGGTCCTCAGGGGTATGTTCAAGCCCCAGTAAATATGAGAGGCAGCCTGCTAAGCAGGATGCCCTGGGCCTCACAGGGAACGTAGGAGTCCAGCTACCACCCAGGCCTCTGACTGAGTCCTCATCTCACAAACATATATCCCACTCTCTCTGTCCCCTTGTTCCCCAGTCCTATACTGAGTCTCACAAGGGCATGCTCCTGGGGACCATGTCTCATATCTCGGCCTGTCTTAACCTCTTCTGGGAAGAAGCCTGGGGAAGCCACCCTCCAGGGCAGGGGCTGGAAGAAAATATGGCTTCCAAGAGATTTTCAAGATCAGTGAGTTGTCAGTGTTTTCTTCTACGTTGAATTGCCATTCCCCTCATGCTTCACCACCTACCCTCCTCCCACCCACATTCTGGACCTTAAGAATTGGAATAATTCAAGTCATGGTGGCATCTTTAGCATATGTATTTGCATGTGTGGCATTACTGCATGCATGCCTCTGTGCACGCATTTATTCAACAGATGTTGTTTTCTTCCGCCATACTGGAAATTAGACCCAGGGTTTCTTGCATGCCCAGGAAGCACTCTGTCTCTGAACCACATCACCAGCTCTTGAAATTCTCTCTTTTTTTTTTTTTTTTGGTGGAACCAGAGATTGAACTCAGGCCCTTGCGCTTGCCAAGCAAGTGCTTATTCTACTGAGCCATCTCCTTGGCGCCAGCCCTTGACAGACACTGAGCGAATGCCTTTTAGTGTCAACCTCAAGGGAGGTGACAGACATGTAACACAGGGAGCCTCCAGCCAGAGGCAGACACATAAATACCTATAACACATTCTTGCCATCATCATGTGTCTTCTGTGTGCCTCTGTGTATGCATGTCATGCGCATACCCAGAGCTACCTGTGCGTGTAACTGTGGATGTTCATTAACTGCATACTGCATCCGCTTGAACCTGTCTCTGTCCCCATGACAGGCTGTACACCTAAGCCAAACCGGTCGGAGTGGGTTGTGCGGAAATTTCTGTTTGTGTCAGTGGGACCTGAGGTGAGTCAGGGAAGGACGAGGATGGGTGGGGTGGGGTGTGGGAGAAGAGTGAGAGTGAGGGTCGGACTGAAGGACTGGGAGTCGGGGGTGGGTCAGGGTGGAAGGGCTGGACTGGGGTGTGAGGCGGATGGGTCAGGGTAGGCTAGAGAGCGCCTGGGAGAGAAACATCCTGTTCCTCTGCAGGGAAATCCCAGGTCAAAGAAGGGTGAAAGGCTGGTGGAGAGACCCTTAGGCTTCGGAAGAGGAGGTGAATAATAAATGAGAATGCAAGTAGGTGAAAAGCGAATGTGGATTCAATGGTTGCAGTCCATTTTTCCACAGCTTGGTCTCTCCATGGAGTAAACTATTCCTGCTCTGCTCCTTGCCCTGGCTCCACACAGTCTGTGCAGAAAGGCGTTGAGCAGCTGATTGATGTGGTGGAAGATTACTGGCACTGGACTTGATCCCATCCCAGGACAGAAGCTACTGCAGGTAGCAGCATTAAATTCATGCCTCCTGCCCCTCTGGAGGACGGCCTACACCCTGGAAGTGTGGGGAGAGAGCCACACAGGATGCAGGGGTACCGCTGCTTCTCCTCCTCTGACAATCACCTTCGCTCCTCCCAGGGCCAGCCTCACTGCGCCAGTACAGGGACAATAGCATCATGCTCTTCAGGATTTTCCATCTGGACACTGCCATGCACTGTGTCACTCTTATCTATTGGTTCCCCGATACCCAGCCCCATCCTTTACCAACAACCATGTTTCCTGGTTGCCTCATAACATCCCCCCAACCTTAGGGGGCCCAAAGCTGGGGTGAGCCGACCAAGGTGAAAGGAGGCTGCGTGTGACACAAGGCAAAGTTGGGCACTGCTTTTTAATTGGCCCAGTTGTAGGCAGAGTCCCACCTTCTTGCTCTTGCCAAGGTTCTGTGAACACATTCTCACAGAGGCACAACGACACGCTGAGAGACAAATGCCTTTGTCATTTCATTCCACATCCCTGGCTGGGCCAGCTTGCACATTTAGAAGGCTCTGGGAAGCCACGTGTAATAGTTTATACTTGTAATCCCAGCATTCTAGGAAGCTGAGGCAGAAGTGCTGGAAGTTCAAGCTCAGCCAGGGCAGTTTAGCAATTTAGCAAGACCTTATCTCAAAATTTAAAAAAAAAATTAAAAAGGCTTGAGATGTAGCTCAGTATGAAGGCTCTGTGTTTAATCTCATACTGGAAAGGAAAAGAAAAAAAGGGGTCTTGGCACAGGTGCTGGCTAGTGCAGGCTAAGGAGGAGGAGCCATCGTGGAACTCAGTGCAGAGGTGACAATGCAGCAGAAGATGCTGGACATGAGTCTCTGGTGAGAGAATGGAATCTGGGGAAGCCCTGGGTTGTCCTCTCCATTGACCCCATCCTCACACTCAGCCACAGAGAGCAACCTATTACGCCCCATGGAAGCAGCTCGCAGAGCCCAGCCTGGCCACAGAGGCTGCACCATCAGACACTTCAGGTGACACCAGTGCTCTGGTGGTTCGCACACTCCGGTCTCCAAGCACCTAGCTTGCATGCTGATGACTTGGCAACAGAGAACCAGGAGCCCCCAGCCCCCACTTCCTTTCAGCCTGCGAAGCAACAACAGGTCATTACATACCACTTCAGGTGCTGTTCTGGGATGTGAAGTATGTGTCACACAGGGCAGATTAGCTGGCTTTCTCCCCAAGCCCCAGCCCTACTCTTCACTTTCTGTTTTCTTTTCTGACTCCTCTAATACATGGCCTTGGTTCAGACTAGCCAGAGGAGGTAGGAGTCCTGAGTAGCTCCTCTCCCTGGGTCTAGCGTTGGTGCAGCAATAGACAGACACCTGTATCTACTACGTGGGACCCTAGAAGAGACACAGAACTGGAGGGGGTACAGCCAAGGAATATATGGGGTTCAGGCTCCACGTCCAAGTGATATGCCTACTGCTGAGGTTTCTGAGTCATGGTGGAAGCTGAGAGGAAAAGGCACACAAAGCTGGGAGAGAAACGCTAAAAAGGCCCCTGGGGTGGGGAGTTGCTATTTCTCCCAAGAGGCAGAAAATAAGACTCTGCTACTGGGGGCTGGCGAGATGGCTCAGTGGTCTAAAGCACCTATTTGGAACAAGCTTGGCAAAGCACAGGGACCGCGGTTCGATCCCCCAGCACCACATGCCAGCCAGCCGCGCCCCCGGTGGGCTGAGCTGGACACACACACACACACACACACACACACACAATAAATAAATAAACTTTAAAAAAAAATAAAATAAAATAAATTAAAAAAAAAAAAAGACTCTGCTACAATAGCCAAAGACAGGCAAAATCAAGAGCCTAAAATGGGCATATAGGCCAATCAAGTTGCAACAAAATGACCCCACCTCCTTAGCTCCTTGCCTAATCTTTGGAGTGTGTCAGATCTGGGTCCAGCTATTGGAAGGTGAGCCAGTGAGAAGTCTTATGGAGAAAATCTGAAAGAAAAAAAAAAAAAAAAAAAAAGAAAATCTGGCTTTCATATGTTTTTTTGGGGGTATGGCATGGATTCCAACACTGAGTCACATCCCCAGCCCTGGCTTTCAGATTTCAGCCAAGGATATTAGAAGTTAGTTTGCTTATTTAAGAGATTTTTCCTGTGGTCTTGGAAAACCAAGGATCCTGCCTGTCAGACACAAGGAAAACTATCGCTGGGTGGGTGGGCAGAGGATCTCAAAGCAATGTTGAATCTGGTTGGTAACAGGCTCAGGTATACTTTGAGTTTAATTATGCCTCCCCCCCCCCATGTTGTGTTCTTTGACAACCAAGAGCTGGGATCAGGAGGAAAAAGTTCCTGAATCTCACGCCCACACCCACTGAATTCTTGGCCCTTCTCTACAGCCTGTTTCTCAGACATAATGGGGAGCAAGATGATGTATGGAAAAGGCAAAGTAGCAACCATCATTCCTAACAGTCCAGCCCTGGGGGCCACGGATCCTATTTCTGTGCCACCACAGCTGGGTTAGGAGTAAATCTGCATTTCCTCCTGCAGCTCAGTGAAGTCAGCTAGGATCTGGGCCTTGACCCTCTTCACTGCATCCTGGAGGGACAGAGTTAAGAAGTGCAGGGACCTGACTGAACAAAAGGCAGGTATCAGGGAGGGGCAGTCTCACTCCTCCCCCATTTCGCCCCCACCCAGCTTCTAAGGCTGGGCAGCTTCTGCCCTGGATCTTATCAGGAGAAACTCTCTGTCGTTAATCCTGAGTTCCAGGTGCCACGATGCCTCAGTTTCCTTGTGCTGTATAAGCCCGATGAGGCAAGATAAAATAATTCCTCTCACTAAGATGTACAGAGAAGCTGACCAAGTGTCAGGTATGCCTGAGGTATTTTTCTTCTCCAATCTAACTCAAAGAAGCACACAGGTGGGCAGCACACATATCCTATTCTCATTCTCATCCCAGTCCCATCCCGTCTGTGCGTGTTTGGCTGCACCTTGAAAAACTGGGTTCTACTACCGCGAGCGCTTGCGTGCGTGCGTGCGTGCGTGTGTGTGTGTGTGTGTGTGTGTGTGTGTCTGCACACGGAGAAACTTGGTTCTACTACCCTCTACTGGCCAGAGCTGCTGAGCTTTACCTTGGAAGTTCCAGAAAAACTGGGTTCTACTACCGTGTGTGTGTGTGTGTGTGTGTGTGTGTGTGTGTGTGTGGCTGCACACCGAGAAACTTGGTTCTACTACCCTCTAGTGGCCAGAGCTGCTGAGCTTCACCTTGGAAGTTCCAGATACCTAGTAGATAAACCAACAGCACATTTTATAAAGGAGAACACTGAGGAGGCCTAGAGTGAGGGGAAGTAGTCTGGAACTACAGCCCAAGTCTCCCGATTCCACTTTCACGACCTCATCCTCTGACTTCTCTTCTCCCTCACCATAGGAAACCAGTTCGAGTTAGAAATCCTGACGCTGAGAGGACCCGGTCCCTGCATGGAGCCAACATCTGCCTCTCTAGTGTCCTAATCCCAAATCAATTCGCAACTGCAGCTACAGGAGTTCTTCAAAGCGCTATTTGCTCCCTGACTTTCTGAAGTTAGCAATCTTTCCAGATGCGCCAGGGCAACATACTGCCTGGCCTCCCGGAGCCACCAGGTCTTTGGTTTTCACGCTAGCCGGCACTTTGCGACTTAGATTTGCAGCAGTCGCGCTGCAGCCCGCGCAGTGGTTGCTGGGCAACAGGAGAGTGCGGGTTGCGTCTGGAGGTGGGGACCTGGCCCTGTCCAAGGAGCGCCACCCGCCTCCTCCCCCAGCCTATGGCGGCAGCCACGGCGCCCGGGGGTCGGACTGGGGGCGCGGGCTGGACCTGGCGGCCAGTAGCCCGCGATGCGCTTGTGGCTCGGGCCTTTCATTCATGCACTGAACTGGGGGGTCGGTTCTATCTGGTGGGGGGTCTCCTAGCAGGTGGAGCAACAGCGCCCAGCAGTGACACGGTGCTCTTCGACCCGGCGGGAGCCCAGGCCGTGCTCTTAGGAGTCCGGGGCAGTGCCCCGCGCAGTCACCACGACGCGGCACCGGTGGGCGGCCGCTGGCTCTGCATCGTGGGCGGCTGGGACGGGTCACGGCGCGTGGCCACCGTGGCTGCGCTGGACACGGAGCGTGGAGCATGGGAGGATTGGAAACCGGCCCCTGGCAACTGTTCCCCTGCTGGCCTGAGCAGTCACACGTGCACCCGCCTCTCAGACCGAGAGCTGTGGGTGGCGGGCCGAGAGGGCGGGGTGCGTACTCAGCGACGCTTCGGAAGCATCTACAAGTTAAAGCTGGACCCTGCCACCCGAACCTATTGGTATGGCATCCCTCCCCCAAAACCTCAAATTCTATCGAAACTCTATACATAAACAACAGCCTCAGGCAAGTTAGCCACTGGCTAACACAGCTGTGCTGTCCAGTCTTACCTTCCTAGGGTTTCTGGCCTCCTTCCTATCCTTGACAAGGGGAATGGAGGGAAAAGCTGTACGACACATTTCCCAGAAAGCCCCATTCAGGCCTGCATTTCTGCATATCTACAGCTACAAGGAAGAAGGCTGCCGCACAGCCTCTCGCTCTGGTCACTGTGCTGCCCTGCTGCAAACACCTGGGTCCCACCCAGGTCATCAGCTTTTGCTCTTTGGGGGCTGCAATTCAGCTGAACCAGAAGTAGCTGGGCAGTGGAGTCATGGGAAGATTAAGGTATTATCTATTAAAATCTTGCGTTGGACGAAAAAGGCTACAATTCTGATGCCAAAGTTCCAACAGTCCCTTCTTTCTCCCCAAGGAACAGCTACCTGCTGCCCTTCACTTGACAGAACAGCTTGCAAGGCTTGTAAGCAGCAGACAAGGGTCCCCACAGGGGCCTGGTGGACTGCGGCATCACTCCTGTTCTGTGGTTGGACCCTTTGCTGTGCTGTTTGGTGGAGAAAGTCTGACCAGAACTAGAGACACCATCTGCAATGACCTCTACATCTATGACACTCGTGAGAGCCGTGAGGGTGGCAGGTGGCTTAGGGGTGGGATTGGGTGGCACAGAACCAAAAGACTTCAGAAAAAGGATAAAATAACTGAGTGGTAGGAAAATTATTTGATTTTTTTTAACATCTATTTATTTATTTTGTGTGTGTGTGTGTGTGTGGCCAGCTCAGCCCACCAGGGGGCGGGGCTGGCTGGCATGTGGTGCTGGGGAATTGAACCGCAGTCCCTGT